CTCTCTTTTCCTCTCTTTTCCTCCCTGTATCTGCTATTTACCTCCCACCATCTCTCTCTTTCTTCTCATGTGTATGTGTTTGTGTATAGAGCAGAATTTGTGTATTCCTGAGTTTTTTAGTTCAGTGCTTCCCATCTTTTTCATGTCAGACACATACAGAAAATATTTCAGGACAAACAAGGGTAATGGAAGGAGCTCCTTAAGGTCAAAGGACTTAGGTTCTGTGTGCCCGTTGTTTTTCAGATTTAGGTCACATCCTATTAGTGAAATCAATCAAGTGAGCTGCCACTATCGTTAGAATAAATGAATATAATAGAATGCATCATTTGGTGAAAGAATTATGTGAGTGTATGTTTGTAACCTTATAGTATGAAATGTATTTATGTGGATCATTATCGAACTTTGAAAGCTATTTCCTTTGCTCTAGCCAAATACTAATTAATAATGCCCCAAGCCTCTATTAAGTTAGAGGCTTCCTTCTTAAACAGGAGGAAAGATTTATGAACAAAGATTTAGACTTAATATATTGCAAAATTTGAAGAATTGAAACATTTTCAGACCAGCTGGGTAAATCATGGCATATTCTTTTAGGTGATTTACTCGAGGTAGTATTCCCTTATCTATCTTCAGTGTTTTTAGGGTTTGCAGTGAAGGTCCAGAGGTTAATAATAGCTTTCATAGAGTTCTTGTAGAGTCAGTGGAGTTTTAAAGAACAATTAGTATATCATAGTATACTGGTAACATCAGAGAGAAATCAAATTTGAGCCCTGTTCTGCTGTGACAGCCTTGGCCAATTTATTTAACCCTTTTTTGTCTGTTTACTCATCCATAAAATGGAGCTAATAGTGCGTATTTCATAAGGTCGCTAGGAGTAGGAAATACGGTAATAAATGCAAAGTGCTCAGCACATCTCTTGGACTCCCTGTAAGTAGAGTTAATTCCAGGCTAAGTATTGCTTCTAACATTGTTGAATCTCTCACTTTCTGCTTTAGTTTCTTCTTCAGCTCACATTTTAGCTAATATTATTAGATGCATCTTTGGGCATATAAAAACTTCTCTAGTTACTTTATAGGAGTTTAAGATAGTTAGAATCAGAAAATAATAAATGCAAAAAGCACTGTACAAATTTATGGTGGTATTATTAATAATTCCAGTGGTAGCAACAATAGGAAACCTGTTTGCACTGTGTATGAGCTGATTAATGAATCAGTTGTTCATTCAGATGGGGATAGATACTTTTAGTTCCTTAAAAGTATTAACCTATTTTCCTGCCTTAGGTTCTTTGCAGTTATTTTTTTTTGCCTGGAATATTCTCCCCTGTCCCCACCCCTTATGTCGGCCTATCTAGTAATTTTTTTTTTTTTTGAGACAGAGTCTCGCTTTGTTGCCCAGGCTAGAGTGAGTGAATGGCGTCAGCCTAGCTCACAGCAACCTCAAACTCCTGGGCTGGAGCATTCCTCCTGCCTCAGTCTCCCGAGTAGCTGGGACTACAAGCATGCACCACCGTGCCCAGCTAATTTTTTCTTTTTTTTTTTTTAGTTGTTTGGCTAATTTCTTTCTATTTATAGTAGAGACAGGGTTCCGCTCTTGATTTTGATAGGTTGGTCTCGAACCCCTGAGCTCAAACGATCCGCCTGCCTCGGCCTCCCAGAGTGCTAGGATTACAGATGTGAGCCACCGAGGCGCCGGGCCCTCAAACACATCTTCATTAATCAAAATAAGAACCATTACAATCAACACATTTTTGCCAATGAGAAATAAATTTGTTTATTCCTGTAGCATAAAAATCCATGCTTTGGGATTCAACAAACTCTTGGAAAGCATTTTCTGCATCCTGCTGGTTGTGGAAGCATTTTCCCTGCAAAAAGTTGTTGAGATGCTTAAAGAAGTGGTAGTTGGGTGCTAGAGGTCAGGTGAATATGGCGGATGAGGCAAAGCTTTGTAGCCCAATTCATTCAACTTTGAAAGCGTTGGTTGTGCGATGTTCGGTTAGGCATTGTCAGGTAGAATTGGGCTCTTTCTGGTGGCCAATGCCAGCTGCAGGTGTTGCAGTTTTTGGTGCATCTCCTCAATTTGCTGAGCATACTTCTCATATGTTATGGTTTCACCAGGATTTAGAAAGCTATAGTGGATCAGACTGGCAGCAGACCACTAAACAGTGACCATGATGTTTTTTCGGTGCAAGTTTGGCTTTGGGAAGTGCTTTGGAGCTGCTTCTCAGTCCAGCCACTGAGCTGGTTGTAGCTGGTTGTTGTATACAATCCACTTTTCGTTGCTTGTCACGATCCAGTGGAGAAATGGTTTGTTGTTGTTACATACAAGAAGAGAAGACGACACTTCAAAACGATGATTTTTTTTTTAATTTTTGGTCAACTCATGAGGCACCCACTTATTGAGCTTTTTCACCTTTCCAATTTGCTTTAAATGCCAAACGATTGTAGAATGGTCGAGGACAACAACATTGAGAAGTTGACTTCTTTGGCAACTTCTCCTGTAGTTGTGAGAGGATCATCTCTGAATTGGTCGTTGTCAACTTCTAATGGCTGGCCATTGCGCTCCTCGTCTTCAAGGCTGTCGTCTCCTCTGCAAAACTTCTTGAACAGCCACTTATACACTACAGGAAGTATATGTACCCACCAATCTAGGTATCTCAGTACAGAAATTTCACTCACATGCATTTGGGGCTTTCCTAATTTTTTTCCTGTGCTGTGTTGATTATCCTATATATTCGTTAGCAGTTCCTGGGCCAAATGCGTTGTTGATGTCCACTGCTTTACGACCCATTTTCAACTCTAATAAGAAAATCACTCAAATTTGCTTTTTGTCTAACATCATTTCTATAGTCTAAAATAAATATAAAATAAACAGCAAGTAATAAGTCATTAGCAAAAAAACATAAAGTGAGAAATGTGCATTAAAATGATGTATAACATAACCACATTTATTTAAGAATGTATTCCAATATCAAGTAGCAAATTTCAACAATGCTAAAACCATAATTACTTTTGCACTAACCTAATGTATTTCATTGAGTCTAAAAATAAATGTTTTTTAGTATATAAAGTCTCTGAAATTGGCATGTCTTATAATCAAGGGTATGTTGTGGTTTAATTGGCAGTATTTTTTTCTTCATGAATTGCACATAAAATAAGGATGTCTTGAAATCTATAGCATCTTAGATTTGATGAAATATGGTATGTATTTGAAACTAAAATGGGATCATGATGTTCACCTCTTTTCCCCACCTGAGCATTTTCCCATATTGCTTTTTCTAGATCTATCTTATTCTCAAGAATTATGATTAAGAATGTGTCACAACTTGGTCAACCAGTTCCTCTTGATGGACATTTGGGGCTTTCTCAATTTTTCTCCTGTGCTGTGTTGATTATCCTTGTATGTATCTTTATACATGTGAGTGAAATTTCTGTGCTTAGATACCTAGATTGGTGGGTACACATACCTTCCTGTAGTGTACAAGGGCACCTATTTCCCTATATCTTTGTGAGTACTGCATCTTAGTGAATTATTAAATTTTTCTTTTTTTTTTTTTTTTTTTTTTGAGACAGAGTCTTGCTTTGTCGCCCAGGCTAGAGTGAGTGCCGTGGCGTCAGCCTAGCTCACAGCAACCTCAAACTCCTGGGCTCAAGCAGTCCTGCTGCCTCAGCCTCCCGAGTAGCTGGGACTACAGGCATGCGCCACCATGCCTGGCTAATTTTTTTCTATATATATTAGTTGGCCAATTAATTTCTTTCTATTTATAATAGAGACGGGGTCTTGCTCTTGCTCAGACTGGTTTCGAACTCCTGACCTTGAGCGATCTGCCTGCCTCAGCCTCCCAGAGTGCTAGGATTACAGGCGTGAGCCACCACGCCCAACCATTTTTCTTAATCTAAGTGAAAAATAGCTTAGTGTTTTAATGTTGTTTAATTATTAAAAATGTTGGACCTCTATTCATGTTTATGAGCTGTTTTTATTTCCTCTTCTGTGATGTATTTGTGCATAGGATAATAGTAGACTTTTAATTGGCTGGCAGATTAGTCGTAATTACAAAGAGAAACCTTCACAGTTTGGAACCATGCATTATCATATTAGTTCTTCAATGCAATGTTCTGGCCTGCCAGAGCCTACCCTTGTGGGAGTACAAGAGGGCTTTATATTGTAAGGCCACAAGACTGGGAGAGAGACAGAATTCAGGAATAGCCAGAATTGTATGACATCTCTTTTATAATGGAGACCAAGAAAGCTTATAGTATTATTAGTTTGTGAGCTGCGTGCTGGAACTCAAATTATGCTGTTAGTCTTTAAATTTTAAATATTCTTCTCAAACCTTGTTCTTCTGTAACATGACGTGATTGTAGTGTAGTAGTTTTATTAGTTCAGTAGGTTTGAAATAAGACATAACTCTGGGACTTGAATGAAGTCAATATTAGATCCATAGATTAAATCTATGATTGTTTAGATTTGATTAATATGGGTTTTTTGCACATAGTTTACAATGTTCTTGTTAACATATTTTAATACCTTTGCTATGTCAGACTGTCACTTTCAAAGATATCAGGTATTCTCTGCTTTTCAGGCTATGCAGCTATCTGTGGAAGAGACATATTTCAGTACTTTGGTAAAAGTGAAGCTAGAATATACATGTAATATGGAGAGCACAGAGGAGGATTTTATCTAGTGTAGGAATTTAAAGGAAGGCTTCCTGAAGGAGATAAGATAACGTAAACTGAGTTTTGAAGGATAAGTAAGAGTTAGTTGGAATAGTAAGTCGTAAACAACAATGAAATGGACTACAAGTAGAGTATTCTTAGAATACATTTGAGGTGAAGAGTGACTTATGGTGAGGCTGGGAAGATAAGAAAGAACCAGGTAATGAAGGGCCTTGAATACCATGCTAAAGACACCCTGTATTTTATAGGGTGGGATCATTTTGAGCAATGTCAGGGTCAAATTAACATTTTAGAGATCAGTGCCTAAAGATTGATTTAGGGGGCGAGGCTGAAGGCAAGGAAACATGTCGGGTAACAGTTCCAGTAATTCAAGTGAGAGAATTAAGGCATTGGCTCAGTGGTAATAGCTTACTGGGAAAATGGTAGTCATTTATTTTTTTTTTTAGTTTATATAATATTTGGTCCTTGGTTGTTTAGAATCCCATTGAGATTAAATTTCATGGAACTGGGTTTATTATTTTGCAGAGATGATGGATATTAATTGCAGAATTGTTTTTCATTATTTATGTCTGTAGGAAGTTGATACTTTTATAAATACCAGTATAACTATTGTGATGCTATATGGGAGACAGTAATTCTTTTTGATTATAAAAACTAAGAGATGTTAGTTAGTCCTTTTGGTGTGCTTAGTGATTATCTTAGAGGGAAAAAATTTTGGAACATTTTGCCTTTGTGTAAAAGCAATGATTTTAAATTAAATTTAGGTAATATAATTTATTAACTTTTGGGAATTTATAATTTATGTGTGCTAATTCTTTCTTTCTTTCTTTTTTAAGGCTATTAGGAAAAGATGGTGGATCGCTTGGCAAACAGTGAAGCAAATACTAGACGTATAAGTATAGTGGAAAACTGCTTTGGAGCAGCTGGTCAACCCTTAACTATACCGGGACGGGTTCTTATTGGAGAAGGAGTATTGACTAAGTTGTGCAGAAAAAAGCCCAAAGCAAGGCAGTTTTTCTTATTTAATGATATTCTTGTATATGGTAATATTGTCATCCAGAAGAAAAAATATAACAAACAACATATTATTCCCCTGGAAAATGTCACTATTGATTCCATTAAAGATGAGGGAGACTTAAGGAATGGATGGCTTATCAAGACACCAACTAAATCATTTGCAGTTTATGCTGCCACTGCTACTGAGAAATCAGAATGGATGAATCACATAAATAAATGTGTTACTGATTTACTCTCCAAAAGTGGGAAGACACCCAGTAATGAACACGCTGCTGTCTGGGTTCCTGACTCTGAGGCAACTGTATGTATGCGTTGTCAGAAAGCAAAATTCACACCTGTTAATCGACGTCACCATTGCCGCAAGTGTGGTTTTGTTGTCTGTGGGCCCTGCTCTGAAAAGAGATTTCTTCTTCCCAGCCAGTCTTCTAAGCCTGTGCGGATTTGTGACTTCTGCTATGACCTGCTTTCTACTGGGGACATGGCCACGTGCCAGCCTACTAGATCAGACTCTTACAGTCAGTCATTAAAGTCTCCTTTAAATGATGTATCTGATGATGATGATGATGATGATAGCAGTGACTAAGGACACATTTTGAAATATTTAATTAATTGGGTGTGACTATCTAAGAAATCAGCTTTAGGGGAAATGTAAAATTATGAGCTCTCTCTTAATTTTGCTCTAGCCATGAATTTGCCTGAGAAACTTGTAACCTACATGTGCCTCAATATATTCTATAGAAAGTAGTTTCCCCTGCCTTTTCCTTCCTCACACTCTTCTACAGGGATAGACTTTTACAACTATATCATATAAATTTTTTGTTTCTTGTTTATTTCTAGATTGTTTTCTTGGAAGGTTTGGAAAAGATGTTTATTTAACAAATCATGTACTACATTGTTGTTTTCATTTCTTTTATATGGAAAAACTAAAAGCACAGAATGATGAGAAATGGCGTGCAAGGTGGTTAATTAATACTGTTATTAGCGTTTTTCTAACCAGCTTTTCTAATGGTCAAGACACCAGTAACAAAAATACATGATTTGGAAATTCTTTGTTTGGCTTTTTCATATACCTAGTGGTGCCTTATCATAATAGCACTGTTACATGAAATAAGCCCCTACCTTCTCACTTTTTGGTTTGTTTAAAAAATACACTGGTGCTCTTTGAAGTGAAGAGTGTTTATGAATGGATATAATTAGGAAATACTTCTCATCTGATAGCTACAAATAACTAAATTTAGAGGTATTTTCATTCTGTATGAATACATATTTTTCCATAAAATAGTTGTGATTATATTTTTATGTTTTATAGGTTTCAAATTATAATTGTCAAATATATATTTTAAATTAATAATAGGTTTTCATTCTTAGGAATTTGGTTTGAAATTTATCAGTAATATAGAATTGCCATATTGCATTAGCTTCTACTTTTGGTAAGACTTATTTTTAGATATAAATTCATCTGCTTTAACATTTCTAGAATGGAAATCTTCCTATAAAACCCTTGAAAATAAACAATCTCTTTAAAAAAAAATCACACGATAGAGCACAGATTTACTTAGGTTTGAAGATTTGGAAGAAATAATACGTAGTCAAAGTTTGACTAGACTTCGTATCTGATTATCTATTTCAGTGTGAAACTATCTTGAATTTACAAATATAGTGTTATATTTTATAAAGTTTTGTAAAGTCCCAAATAATATTTCTATTTTTGTAAAACAGTTGTATGTGTAATCTGTTTCTGAAATAATTTTGCGATCTATGGAAATATGGTAGCAGTTGATATTTCTAAATTGTGAAATTTAAGTCAGTGTAGATTTATTTTGAGAAGTAGTAATTTTTCATTCTTTGCTTTTGAGGCAGCCATTAGGTTGAAAGTATATTTATCATATAAAACTTGATGCATTTTGCACTACTCTCTCCATTTCTATGCTGCAAATAACTACAGTCTTTGAAATATGGAAAATCAGCAATCTAAAGTTTGTTTTAAATTCTAAATTAAAAAATATTTAAATTTGAATATACTGCAAATGTCATGAGAGGTTTGATTCAATACCTTGTGACGGAGGATTCTTTGTTATCTTACTGTTTGGTTAAGGCACTAATTTTATTTTACTGTTAAATTTTGGAAAGCATCTGAGTTATACAGATCTCCCTGTAGGAAATGTGAAAGAAAAGCACAACAGAACTAGGGGGTTTTTTGTTTTGTTTTTTCAATATCAGATGGGCTTTTGTTTCTAAGCAATATATACATATAATCAATCAACATATCTGAAAAGGACCATGAAACCTGAGAAATGCTAATGGAGACTTGCTGGTCCATAGGAAACTAGGAAATTCAGGAACTAAGGGGAAATTTTCTGAGATAAAATTTGCATTGTCAAGCTCAATGTCAACTTCTATTGACTGTTTTTACAATAAAAAATATTTTAGAACTTGCCTTCTGTTCTCTGTATATTGTGATTTAAAGATTTTCCTGCCTTTGCTGAGATAATAAAGATATTATGCATATTTTGCCTCATTCCGCAGCTGTGAGTGCCTACTATGTGCCAGGCATTGTTCTAGACACTAGGGTAGAGCTGTGAACATAAATTCCTTCCTTTTCACAGTGTTTATATGCAAGTAGAACCCAAGAAGTGTTTTCTTCCAGAATTTTTTTCTGTAATTTTTAAAGTTCATATGAATCTTGGTTATATAAACCGGAAATGATTTTGGTGCTGGTTTTTCATATCATTCCTCTTGAATGAAATTTACTTAGACTACCCAGTACATTAACCAAATTGGTAACTATTGGTGTAAAGCAAGAAAAATTCTGTAGATGTAAAGGAAAAATATTAAATTGAATATGCCTTAATATGGAAATTCATGCTTTGGGGTCAAGTGCATAAAATGGCCATAGTTAATATAAAGTTATCTTTTCTATCCTTAACAGCTTGATTCCACAATTGTTATAAATAGATTGTAGTAAATTGTATACCTTATTATTTATTTATTTATTTTTGAAACAGTCTTGCTCTGTTGCCTGGGCTAGAGTGCAGTTGTGTCAGCCTAGCTCACAGCATCCTCAAACTCCTGAGCTCAAGTGATCCTCCTGCCTCATCATCCAGGGTAGTTGAGACTACAGGCATGCACCACCCTGCCCGGCTAATTTTTTATATATGTTTTTAGTTGTCCAGCTAATTTCTTTCTATTTTTAGTAGAGACGGGGTCTTGCTCTTGTTCAAGCTGGCCTCAAACTCCTGACCTCAAGCAATCCTCCTGCCTCAGCCTCCCAGAGTGCTAGGATTACAAGTGTGAGCCACTGCCCATGTCCTGAAAGCAGAGTTTTAAACCATATAAGTTAACAATATTTCTCTTTTTTATGTGTCCACTCTGAATGTAGTAATTGGTAAGCTCAGGAATTAGCAACAGCAGAATTGCTTGGCTTAATTACTGTCTTAGTTTGTTTTCTGCTGCTGTAAAAAATACCAGAGACTGGGTAATTTATAAAGAAAGAAATTTATTTCTCAGAATTCTGGAGGCTGAGATGTCCAAGAGCATGACACCAGCATGCTCTTGAGGGCCTTCTTGATATAACATGGCAGAAGAGCAAGTGAGCCTATGAGACAAAACATCAGGGGTTGAATTCACTTTATAACAACCCACTCTTGCAATAACTAACCTGCTTCAGCGATAATGATAGTAATCCATTCATGAGGGCTCTGCTCTTATGGCCCATCACCTCTTACTAGGGCTCACCTTCCAACACTGTCCAACACATGAACTTTTGGGGGACACATTCAAACCATAGCAATAACCATCATTTTACTTTACCAAGAACAGAAAGGTAGAGGAGGTCGATTGATAATTTTGCTAATACTATTTTGTCCTCACCATCCAAACAAATGTTATATTTAATGATTCACATTAGTTAAAATGATTGCTGCAAAGCTTTGATAGTGTTAATCTAACAGTTTCTCAATAACATAGGCGGGAGTAGTACTACTTTAGTTAGACTTTGTGTCTGCGTGCTCCTGTCAGTTTGTTTAGAGAAAATATATGCTGTACTATTCTTTAATAGCTTTTTTGATATATAAGTCACATGCCATATAATTTGCCCATTTAAAGTGCTCAATTCAGTGGTGTTTGTATATTCACTAAAACCATTACCAATATGTTTTCAGAATGTTTTTATTACCCCCCAAAAACCCCGGTTACTTCCCATTCACTGCTCGATCCCCTGTCCCTAGGCAACTCCTTTGTGTCTCCTCTATAGATTTGCCTTTTATGAACATTTCACAAATGAAGTCAGTCATATGTTACTTGGTCTTTGATGATTGCTTTCACTTAGTATGTTTTCAAGGTTCATCCATCTGGTAGCACATGTGAGTACATATTCTTTTTATTGCCAAATAACATTCTATTGCATGGTTGTCCCACATTTTTTTTTTATTCATCAGTTGACATCTGGGTTGTTTCCACTTTGTGACTTACAAATAATGCTGCTATGGACATATGGGCACAAATTTTTGGGTACACATAGGTTTAAATTTCTCTTGGGTGTATACCTAGGAGTGGAATTGCTGAGTTAAAAGTTAACTTCAGCAATTTTTTTTTTTTTTACGGTTCTTAGACGCAACTTTAATCAAGTTCTGCATTATACAGTGATGGGAGGTGGAAGATGATGATTGTTTTCAAGCAAATTCACCAGGCACATGTTTCTCCCTGCCCCATAGTAAGCAGCCTGGGCTTCCCAGAACAAAGAAATGCTTTCCTTCCCCAGGGAATCCCATTCCTGAGCTGACAAGACAATTTCAGGACCAAAGAGCACAAAGGATAGGGCAAACTCGTGAAGGAAGCCCTGTAGATTTCTGAATTCTTCCCAGTGCAAAATTAAACTGGACATGTATATATCCCTCTAAAAAGCAACACCCAATCCCGGCCATTCCCACTTGAGGCCAAAACACCTCTCCGTGGAGACTGGCAGCCAATGTTCATTTCATAACACTCCTCCTGGAAGTATACCCATAAGCTGGGATGCCTGAGCAGTTGTGGCCACCATGCAACAGATGCAGCCTTCTGGCCAGAACCCTCAAGAGCCTTCCTCTTCATTGGCCCCTCAGCTGCGGCTGTGTCTGCCTGGCCATCAAGGAGTAGCCAGTATGTGTGTGGCTGTGTGGTGGGGGATGGGCCAGAATAAGCGACAAAGCAAATCAGATGTGGGTTCTGCAGCTGAGTGGACATGGGGCCAGGACCAGTCATGGCCCACAGTAGGACCAGAGGGCTCTGTGTCCTCCATTAATTCTTCTCCGGTCGGTTTCTGTTCAGGACAGCTTTAGGGGCAAATTCCAGCTTGTCCTTAAGGCTCACCACCTGGGTGTGGTCCTTGCCTAGCAGCTCATCCAGCTTCCGATCCTCCCGGCGTTCTGAGATGCTCTTTTCCTCCTCCACAGGCTGGGGATCCTTTCCCCTGATGAACCATTCCAGCCCACAGCCCCAACCACAAAGGCCACAGGGAATGTGACATAGGGAGCATAGGTACGCACCACGGTCCAAAACACTGGCCACATGACATCAGGCAGCGTGGCACAACTTACTAGATATCACCCTATGCAGAGCAATGCAAGAGCATACCTTGATTTATGCAAGAGGTGGGTCCCTGAAATCATCTGCGGCTAAGCCCGTGCTCCTCGCCCCGGCGCCCCGCTCTCCGCCCGCTTGCCGGGAGCACTGATGACCCCGCTCCCAGCGGCCCGCGGGGCCTCAACTTCAGCAATTTAACTTCTATGTTCTAACTTCTGTGTTCTAACTCTGAGTCTGATGAGGACTCTCAGCTATTGATACACAGGATTTATCCTTAATATTGCTTCCATAATTAAGAGTTGAGAACTACTTCCTAATGAATTAGAATTCATTAGCAAATTTCTAGTCAAGTCAAGCAGCAATGTGTTTGCATCGGTCTTTTCTTTTAGTAGTATAAAACTATACTTTTGGATGTACTGCATGTAGGCTTAGAAAACAGAAGCTTTCTTCCAAATGCTGAAGGCATGGCTTATGGTTACTGGGAGCTGCCTTAATATAATTTGGCTTTGCTGTCCAAATGCTGTCAGAAATAATGATTCAACCTGAATTGACATTTCTCAAAAGGAGACGTAAAAATGGCCAGCAGGTACAAGGGATCTTTAAAAAGTTCATGGAAAATGCTTATGCTGAAAAAAGTATGTGTGGATTTCAATTTTTTTTTGCATCATAATAAACTCATACTAACTTGTTATAACGTGTGAACAGGCTCTAGTATGAGGCACTAAGAAGGATAAGACATGAATTCTCCTACAACTAAAACAAGAACAGATGTCAAATTTATGGTGAAGCTTGGGTAGAAGAATGGTTAATCATTGATGCTTCATGAAAAGTTTATGGGGACAATGCTCCAAAGATATCAGCAGTTTACAAATTGGCCACTTGTTTTAAGAAGGGATGAGATGATGTGGGAGATGAAGCCCAGAGCAACAGACCATATCAGTTTGAGAGGGAAAAATTAGTCTTGTTTATTCCCTAATTGAAGAGGAGTGATGATTATCAGCAGAAACAATAGCCAACACCATAGACATCTCAACTAGTTCAGCTTACGTAATTATGACTGAAAAATTAAAGTTGAGTGAACTTTCCACTTAATGAATGCCAAAATTGTGCCCAGATCAGTTGCAGACAACGGCAAAGTTTTCAGATTTTAAATAAGTGGGATGAAGATTTGAAGATTTGTTTCTTTGAAGAACTAATAGGGAATGAAACATGGCATTACAAGTACAATCCTAAAGATAAAGCACAATCAAGGCAATGGCTACCAAGACGTGGAAGTGGTCTGGTCAAAGCAGAAGTAGATCAGTCAAGAGCAAAGGTCATGGCAGCAGTTTTTTTGGGATGCTCAAGGCATTTGGCTTGTTGACTTTCTAGAGGGCAAAGAACAATAACATTTGCTTATTATGAGAGTGTGTTGAGAAAGTTAGCCAAAGCTTTATCAGAAATATACAGATTCACCAGAGTGTCCTTATCCACCATGACAATGCTGCTGCTCATTTTTCTCATCAAACAAGGGCAATTTTGTGAGAGTTTCAATGGGAAATCATTAGGCATCCACCTTACTGTCCTGATGTGGCTCCTTTTGACTTCTTTTTGTTTCCTAATCTTAAAAAAAATCTGTATCGCATTAAGACCATAGGTAATAAGGGGAAAAAATTGTAAAGCACACCCATTTTTCTTCAGTTAAAAATGACGATGTATTGACATGGTTAAATTCTTAGGACCCTCACTTCTTTGGGGATGGATTAAATGGCTGGTATCATCACTTACAAAAGTGTCTTCAAGTTGATGGAGCTTATGCTGAGAAATAAAGTTGATTTTTTTATTTTTGTCTTTTAATTCCATTTTTCCATGAACTCTTTGAAGTTCTCTCACTTGAAAAAATGCTCAACATCACTAATCATCAGGGAAATATACATTATTAATAAAACCACAATGAACGACTATTATCAAAAAGATGAAACATAAATGTTGGTGAGGATGCAGACAAAGGGGCACCCTTGCACACTATCGATAGGAATGTAAATTAGTACAGCCATTAATGGAAAATAGTATAGGGGTTCCTCAAAAAATTAAAAATAGAACTACCAAATCATCTAGCAATTCTACTACTGAGTATTAATATATAGCTAAAGGAAATGAAATTGGTACATCAAAGAGGTATCTGCAGTCCCATGTTTATTGTAGCATTATCCACAATAGCCAAGATAAGGAATCAACCTAAGTGTGTATCAACAAATAAATGGGTAAATAAAATGTGGTATAGTATACATAGTGCAATACTCTTCCTTGAAAAATGAGGAAATCTTGTCATTTGTGATAACATGGAGGAGGACATTATGTTAGTGAAATAAACCAGGCGCAGAGAGACAACTACATCATGATCTTACTTAATTGTGGAATCTAAAAATGTTGAGCTCACAGTAGCAGGAGTAGAATGATGGTTACCAGGGGATTGGGTGGGGACGGGGGAGGGCATTGGGGAGATCCTGGTCAAAGGATACAAAATTTCAGGTTGATAGGAGGAATAAGTTAGAGAAATCTACTGTACAACATGGTGACTATAGTTAATAACAATGTATTAATGAAAATCACTGGGAGTAGATGTTGTGTTCTCACCACAGAAGTTGATAAATACGTAAGGTGGTAATACATGTTAATTAGCTCAGGTTAGCCATTCGATAATGTATATATATTTCAGAACATAAATACATGATAAACTATAAATATATACAATTTTTGTCAATTTAAAAAATTAATTGGAAAAAAACGACTCAAGATAAACTATTCTAACCGAAACAACAAAGGTAATAGGGTAAAATCATACATTTAGATTTTTTTAAGATAGATCATGCTTTCTCATAGGAATATTCTAATAACTTGGAGAAACCAAAATTCCAGGGCTACTTAAGGAAACATTTTTACTCAATAAATACTTATTGAACACTTTTATGTGTCTACTAGTGTTGGAAAGAATGGTTTAGAACAGCAATTCATTCTTTCCCTTATTTTCATGACCTTGAACTTTTTAAAGATAACACACCAGTGATTTTGTAGAATGTTCTTTGATTGGGGTTTATGTGTTGTTTCCTCATAATTCAGATTATGCCTGTGTAGCAGGGATATGACAGATGTTATGATGTGTTCTCATCACATCTTATCAGGTGGTACTCAATTTGTTTCATTACTTATGTTCATTTCCATTGCTTGATTATGGTGGTGTATCCCAGACTTCGTTGTAAAGTTACTTATTTTTTCTTTATAGTGTTTTGTGAGGTGGTACTTTTGAGACTATGTAAATATTTGTATTCCTCGTGAAATTTTCAATTTGTTAATTTACCTTTTAGTATTAATATGGACCCATGTTTTCCTAATTCAGTGTTTGCAAACTTGAGTGTGTGTTAGAATCCCTTGGAGGGCTTGCTGAAACTGTCTCTAATTTGGCCAGTGGCAAGCTGGCTTCTGTGGCCTATTGAAAAGTCTCCATTAGTGGAGCCCTTCTTTACTTTTTTGCTACATGCAGCAAGATGTTCCAGGCTCATTTTGTACTTCCTCTACCCCAGCCCTGGAGTTGTCTCCAGGGAGCCCTGGTTTCCTTTAGTGGAGAGTGGCACTTAGAAGGCAAGATCTCAGCACCAGGTGTGCTCACTGCCTTGGGGAAAGTACCACTCCCAGGCCCTTTCAGGGGACAAATCTAGAGAACATACATATGTACAATACTTACATACACACATTTACATCTAAATGTCTACATCTGTGTCTCTATATTGAAATCCATGACTTCATACTGACACCTCCATTTCTAACCAGTGCATAGGGTTCCTCCCTTCTCTAACAGTGAGGGACTGGGTCTCACTAGGTTTGATATTTTTAAATTATTTGATCAATTTCCCTGCATGTAACCTATCTGTCTTCCCTGCCGCCCCTCTCCCACATAGATACCCTCCTTACCCCACTCAGGCTCTCACGCTTCACCCCAGGCTGCTCCTATCAAGCATGTTCCCTTTATCCCACTTGGGCTCCAACACTGCCACTGGCCTTCCCCGTGTGGACATCCTTCTCACCTGTTTGGTCTCTAATACTGCGTTCTGGGCTGTCCTCACACGCGGACACCCTCTGCATCTCACCCGGACTTCAGCGCTCCACACTGTTCCCCCTCTGTGTTGGGTGTCTCCTCTCCCTGCCTGGCTCTGACACTCCACTCTGGGCTACCCGCACACGAGCACACTTTACCTGCTTGGTCTCTGACCCCCTCACCGTGTCACCCCCATAACCTGAGTGCCCTCCTTACCCTGCTGGAGCTTTGATGCCAGACCCCGAGACTTGCCGTGTGTGGGTGCCCTCACAGTGATCCTTTGCTTGGGATCTAGAATTATGCACCAAGTTGCACACATGGGAGGGTGCCCTCCCTCTTACCTCTGCTCAGGCTTGGGCATGTGCCAAGCTGCTTCCCCATGTGGGCACTCGCCCTCTTTGGGCCCTGACTCCCTGCACCACACTACCCCAGCTTCATGATCCCGCCATAGCCCTGCCCATCCTCTGTTGCTGTGCCTCTCAGCTAGCTCTGGCTCTGCCCCTTCACATCAGGCTGCTTCTCTGCACGGTCGCCCACCGTGCTGTGGCCTGCTTAATGGCTTTAGGACTGCATTGTTCAGAAGGAGAAGCGAAGGGTTATGCCTGTGATATTATATACACTGTAGTAAGTCTTGGAAAAAGAATGGGAAGGAAAGAAAAAGAAGGAAAGCAAGCAAGCAAGCAGGAGAATCTCTTTTTAAAACAAATTCATTTGGCAGCATAAAGAAATAAGATAGATAAAATAGAACTCTCAAGCTGCTCTGGCTAAAGAAAGGGCTAGAGAGCTAAGAACCAGGCCAGGCTCTTAGCTTGTCCTAACTCCACCTTGCCAAGGCCCCAAGGGATTTAAAAACCACTGCATTAAACAAAGTCAGGTGATATTTCTCCTAGTACCCAAGTGCTAGATTGCCCAGGATAACCCAGGTAGTTTCCAGTTGTTCATATTTAATGATGATTGAAAAGCAAAGGTGTGGCCAACTAAAAATATATAGAAAAAATTAGCCGGGCATGGTGGCGCATGCCTGTAGTCCAGCTACTC